CAGATAGAAAAGGGTAAAGGGGGGATAAATGGTGGTGAAAGGAGACTTGACTTTGGGATGAACACACACAATACAATATATAGATGATGTATTATGAATTGTACACCTGAAACCTATATAATTATTTAACCAATGTCCTCCCAATAAATTCAATTAAAATATGTCTTATTAAACAAAAATTATTATTTTCTGCTTAAAGCCTTTATCTTTTTAAACTTTGAAAAAATCATCTTAATAGAACTTTAAAATCAGCATTATGCACCTATCTGATGGGGATAAAACTGCCTTCGATGATATATAGAATGGCTTGGAGATCATATAAGTCATTATCTTAAGGAAAAAATCAATAAAATGTATTTCATTTTATTGTAAATAGAAAATAGCAATTAACAGCAAAATCCAGATTGTGAGAAACTGCATAGGATAAACAATCTGGTTTCTTCAACAAATAAATTTTAAGGGAGAATTTAAAAATAAAGATAAGGGAAAACCAAAAAATTCAAAGAGACTTTTTGAAACTTATTTTTTTTAAAATAAAACGAGCCCTAACCAGTTTGGCTCAGTGGATAGAGCGTCAGCCTGTGGACTCAAGGGTCCCAGGTTCGATTCCGGTCAAGGGCATGTACTTTGGTTGCGGGCACATCCCCAGTAGGGAGTGTGCAGGATGCAGCTGATCGATGTTTCTCACTCTCTATCCCTCTCCTTTCCTCTCTGTAAAAAATCAATAAAATATATGTAAAAAATTAAAAATAAAAATAAATAAAACGAAACATGGAAAACTATACTACAGGGATACATGCTTGAGTGATAAAACTATGACAAAAATAAGGAAATGATAACCGTAAAAGTCAGGGCACTGTCTACAGTCCTACAAGAAGAGGAGGCAGGGGCTTGGGTTAGGGAAGCAGCACATGGAATTACTGACCAAGCTCTAATTCCTGAACTGGATAGAGGTTATAGGGTGTTCACCTTTAGTAATTTCTGTGTCAGTGTTGTATTTTACAACAAAAAGAAGATTTAAAAAATAAAATTGCAGTCTAAAAGAATCACCAATGCAGCTATTATGTACTTTCATGCAGATGTTCTCATATTCATACTCACATCCTTAAAACAAATACATTGCACCTGAATTTTCACAAATAAAGATTCCATGACTCCTGAGCAGAAATATTTACTAGACTGGTTTTGAGCCATTGTTTAAATCTGACTTGATAATGATGTTGATTTTAATTTGCAACCTCAAGATAAATATGACTTTGTTTGTGCCTACTGACAAAAAAAATGTTCTTTCTTAGAGTTTTGCTTTGATCTCTTAGATCCTTTCATTCACTTCAGTCCCAAGAGAAAAGCCAGTTAAAAAATTCATACAGCTCTTACAGAAGGTGTTATGGGCTGAACTGCATTCCCCTAGAAGTCATATATTGACATCCTAACCTCCAGTACATCAGACTGTAAACATATCTGAACATAGTCTTTAAAGAAGCAATTAGGTTAAAATGAGGTCATTTGGGTGGGCCCTAATCCAGTATGACTGGTATCCTTCGAAGAAGAAGAAATTAGGGCACAGATATGCAAGAGGGAAGACCATGTGAAAACACAGGGAGAAGACAGCAAAGGAGAGAAGAACCCAACCCTGTTGACACTTTGATCTTGGACTTCTAGCCTTCAGAATTGTGAGAAAATAAATTTCTGTTTAAGCCACCCTGTCTGTAGCACTTGGTTATGGCAGCCCTAGCAAACTAATACAGAGGGTTAGAGAAAAGTTAAAACAAAACAATAAAAAATCCTACAATTTTACAAATTTTTGATTCATAATGTCTAGAGAAAAGAAAAGCTTAAGAAAATTGAGTCATTAGTAAAGAAAGAAGAACTAAGAGATTCCATGTAAAAAGCTAAGCACAAAGGGCTACTGACTTTGAATTGATGGGCAGTATTCAGCACTTTCAATGTAGTTCCTGGAGCCCTGGTCAGTGTGTCTCAGTGGTCAGATCATCAGCCTGCCCACCAAAGGGTCCTGGGTTCCTTTCCTGGTCAAAGGCAAGTACCTGGATTGCAGGTTCCAAGCACATGCAGGAGGCAGCCAATCAATATGTCTCTCTCACATCAAAATCTCTTTCTCTCCCCCTCCCTCCCTCCCTTCCACTATCTCTAAAAATCAATGGGAAAAAGATCATACTTGGGTGAAGATTAATTACAACAACAAAAAAGTGGTTCATGGAAAAAACACAGAGGAGAATTTTGAGTTTTGAGTTAAATTCTCTAATTCATTTTTTAAATGAACTGGAAACAAATAAAATGATGGGTGAGATCAAAATGGTTTTCTTAAAGGGAGTCATGTCCTCTGGCCCAAGTACTGAAATGAACTTTGGATTTATCATTTCCCTGGTTTGATAGGGTTAGGGGTTAGACAAACTATCAACCAAGAAAATGCAATTCCCAAAGACTGTGGGGTAAAGTCAATGCTCTGGGTGTTATATATACCCACGGAGCCTAATGAGCTCAGAGCAAAGTATGCTTTGTTAATTAAGTACAAGTTTCCTGAAAAGGGATATTACTGTAGAGACCATAGATAGCTGTTTGCTGGATCTACCCTCCATGCTCCTGTTTGCATTTCAGCATTCCACTGACAGACATAAATAGAAACAGAGAGTGAATTGCCTGTTTCCTTTCGTCTTTAATTTAACAAAGAAATAAGATATCCTGTGCATTCTGAAAAACATCATACAAAATTGAGAAATGAAGCTAAATAAATGGGGATGAGAATAAAAGGAGCCCAGAGATTCTAAATCTAGGGAATTATTTTTCCAACAATAAGCCAAATGGCTCCATTCTCCTGTGTCATAACTAGAAGAAGCCTGGCATCCTTTCTGAAGTAAGGCAGATATAAATCAATCAACCTTCCAATTAGTTAACCTTAAGTTTAGAATAACTTTCAGAGGGAGTGGCATAATTATTATATCTAGGTAACTTGTAAACATTAACAGACTTTTTTAAAGTCTTTATCTGGTCAGAGATGTACAGATATATAAAAATGTATTTGTTGGAGAAATGCCCCAATGTCGTCTGGAATGTGCTTTTAAATACAACACACACACACACACACACACACACACACACACACACACAAGTAGAGATATAAAAGACTGTCAAAATGTTTATAATTGTTGACAATGGAAAATGGGTATGTGGGAGTTCATTATAGTATTCCTTTCACTGCTATTTATGTTTGAAAATTTCCACAATAAAAAGTTTTCCTTCATTTAGTTAACATATCATTAAAAAATCTAATTTGTTTCATGTCATCACTTGAAGAGAAGAATGTAATTTATTTTAGTTATTTACTTATATAGAGTTTAATTTAAATAAAAAAGTTTTATGACAATAATATATTTAAATTAAAAAGCATAGAATATAGGCTTTGAGAGAGAATAACTTGGGGAAATATTTACAATACTAGAGGCCTGATGCACAAAATTAGTGCAAGGGGCTTGGCCCTTGTGGCCCCAGTTGCCTCTCGACCCCGCCCTCAGCCCCCTGGTCATTCAGGAAGTTCGTCTGGAAGGTCATTCAGCTGTCCAGTCTAATTAGCATATTAGCTCTTTATTATATAGGATGATATAATGTTGATTTCTTAAAAGTAAGATATAGCCCTAACCAGTTTGGCTCAGTGGATAGAGCATCAGCCTGCAGTCTGAAGGGTCCTGGGTTCGATTCCAGTCAAGGGCATGTACCTTGGTTGCGGGCACATCCCCAGTAGGGGGTGTGCAGGAGGCAGCTGATCAATGTTTCTCTCTCATCGATGTTTCTAACTCTCTTTCCCTCTCCTTTCCTCTTTGTAAAAAATCAATAAAATATATTTTTAAAAAAGTAAGATATAACGTTGTATATATGTTTATATATACTTATATATAAAAATGTAAGTATGTGCATAGAAGAAAACAACACTAAAAGGAAATACACCAAAATGAAAACAAAATTTACCTCAGTAGAGTTTAAGGGTGATTTTTTTTTCTTTTTTGATATAGTTATCTCTACTTATAAGTTTTCTAAAATGAGTATGCATCAAATATAATCAGAAAAAGAAAGCAAATATATATAAATAGAAATATAATTATGACAAGGCAGAATAGGTAGTCTGAATACTGTTCAAAAGAAAATAGACAATTAGCTAAAACTTGCTACCCTAAACATTGAACCTAAAGCAAGCCTTTGGTGGAGTTCAGTCTCATATGCCCTAAGATTCATCAGTGCACTGGAAGAAAACAACATACGTTCTTACGCCTATAATTGAAGAAGGCTTTTTATTTGTGTGGAATCTTTTCAGAACTGACATGACAAGAACTAGAACTAGGATCTTGAGATTACTGTTTTCAGAGTTTTAAAATTCCCTGGGATTTCCCAGTAGATCTAATAAATTTATCATTTTACCAGGGGAAGTCATTCCCAACAAAATAAAAAGCTATATATATCCTGACCCAAGATTTCACCTCTTGGTTCTCAGTGCTAACCTTAAAAGCAAATTTCAGAAATTATTTTCTGTGATATAATTTAAAAAGAACCCTTTTGCAGCAATATTAATTCTATAAAACATACCTCCAATGACTCCTACAATATACTTACAATTCTTTTTCTAATAACTAAAGGTTTTATTTTATTTTCAAAAGTAATTGGTAATATACTTTCTTGCTAAAAATTTTTTTTTAAGATTTTTAATTTAATTTCAGAGAGAGAGGACAAGAGAGAGAGAAATAGCCACTGGCTTCCTCCTGCAGGTCCCCAACTAGGATTGAGCCCAAAACCTGAGCAAGTGCCCTGACCAACAATCAACCAACAACCTTTCTGTGCATGGGACAACACCCATGCCAGGGCTTGATAAAATTCTTTGTTATAAAACCCCCCAAACGGTACATTAGAAGTATCACTGAAAGTATTAAAATGGTAATCAGTATTCAAAAGATTCTGAAAATAATGTTCCCGAGAGGGAGAAAAATTTTACTTACTTTAACTTCCACCGTCTTCCCTCCATGTTCAATGTGTCTCTCTATGTATTCAGAGGACAGCAAATCACTGCAACAGCAAAATAAAGGATGGTTAAAGAGGACTAGGAAATGTAAAGCATTTGAAAATCAAGTTTACCCATACCAGCTTTAATGATTCATTAACTCCAACTTTAAAACAAAAATAAAGCTTTATAAGACTCTCTCTCTCTCTCTCTCTCTCTCTCTCTCTCTCTCTCACACACACACACACACACACACACACAAACACACACACACACACACACACACACACACATCAGCCTAATATTTCTAAAGGGTTATGAGGTTAAACTGACTACACCACCTGTCACCCCCTTGCTTAGCAGAGCTGATTCCACTGATCTTGTTGAGGAGTTCTGGGAAACTACCGGAAGCACACCATTATTATAAAGACATCTTCTTCCCTTTTTGCTTTAGCTTTTTATCAAACAGTTTTAACTTGCTACCATCCCTCACCATCTCTTTATGTGTTGTGTGTGATATTTTATCTGACAAAACATTAGTTTCCATCACAAAAATAAAAAGGGGGCAAAGAATGCTAAAAAAAATGTAAAGAAATATAGCATTAGCAATAAAATAATTCTATTTTGAAATCTACTAAACAACAAACCTCTCATAGAATTTTAAACTATTTGCATCATCTTAAATGCACTTCTCTTTAATTCCATGTATGTGGAAAAAATGTCCCACATACTTTAATGGACACTTTAATGGAAGTACCTCAAGACACAATTTACACAAAAAGTATTGAAGTCTATTATTTTTAAAGCACTAAAATAACTTAACATTAATAGAAATAAAACAAGAAGCTATAAATTTCTGTGGACCCTGGGACTGGAGATACCTACTAAGAAAGGCTCCTGGTGACAAACTGAGCTCAAATTTAAAAGCAGAGCCTTGCAGCCATGTCTCATTCAAACCGCACTGAACAGCGTGCCGGCACTGTGTTCCTGCCATCTGAGCCAGGCCTTACAAAGCAGTTCCTGGAATCTTATTTCAACCAATAAGACTGAGGCGTCCCTGCTCCAAACGGAACCGTAAGGCTATATCCTTATTAGCATCTTCACCAACCTATCAGAGTGGCTCCATGCTGTTCAGTCCAGACAGTGCCTTTTGGACCAATCAAAGTGTGAGGATTTGGAGTCCTCATTTGCATGAGGACAGACTAATCAGAGACTGGGGCAGGGACTTCTCTCTATATAAGTCAGCACCTCTCTGGCTCAGGCAGAGCACTTTCCCTTTTCACCAAAGACTGAAAACTGGAGTTGAAACACCTAAGACAAAGCACCAAAGACTTCTCACCAGACCAGAACGGAACAGAGCAACTGGAGCAGAGCAGGCAGAGCAAAAGTGTCTCTAGCCCAAGAGGGGCCTTGTCTGAGGACCGCCTCGCCCCAGGGCTGCCTCACCTGGAACCCGTCTCACAGCCCTGCTGTTCCACAGCTGTGCTGTTTCATAATTGAGCTGTTTGCACTGAATAAAGTTTCTTTTTTCACCACATCCCAAACTGGGGATCCCTGATGGTGTTGAATTGATGCCAACCATCAGTTGATATTCTAAATCTACTCTATGAATAAACATTCAGCCAATTAAGAAAACCTTTTTCACAGTGTTCTGAAGGTCACCAAGCCAAAATTGTCCAATTATAAAATAAAATAAAAAGTGCATTTCTGAGCACACAGTCCTCCCATGATAAGCACCATAGTTACAGTTGCTTGAAATGTAAACAGAATGATCAAATGAGAGTCATATTAACATAGGCACCATAATCAGTTTCTACAGTATCTAATTCTTACATTACCATTTGGGGAAAATATCATTATTGTCTAAGCCCTTGTTTTATTTGTCTTTGGAATACATTTTCCTATTGATTTTTTAAGGAGGAACCAGCAAGGATGCTCTAAGCTGCAAGTTGCAAAAAAAAAACTACACATGGCTCAAACAATCAGGACATTTATTTCTTATTAGAAATTTCAGGACTGGTGTAATGTGAATTTGCTTTTGTGAATCTTCAAGTCTGTTAAATGAATAAATTTGAAGTTTATAATAACGTAGGCAAACACTCTTAAGATATTTAAATATAGATAAGTAGCTAGTAAGCAAAATTTCATTAGACGTGGGTAAATTGCATTGGCTGTATAAAGTATAGGTAAGAAAATCATGTATGTTTTACACATTGATAGAAAGATATCTAATATTCATGATGCACCTAGTTAATAAATGTTTATGATATAATAAATATACAAAAGACACTAAATAGCCAGGATACAAATTCAATCACCTATTGGTGACATCCAGGGTTCAGGATTCCTCAACTTACACACTAATGACATTTTGGGTCAGATAATTCTTTGTCTTGGGAGCACCTTGTGCACTGCACCAGTCTGCATTCCCACCAACAGCACACAAAGGTTGCCTTTTCTCCACACCCTTGCCAACACTTGTTTGTTGATTTATTGATAGTAGCCATTCTGACAGGTATGAGGTGATATATCATTGTGGTTTTAAGATGCATCTTTCTGATGATTAGTGACGTTGAGCATATTTACATATGTCTATTGGCCATCAGTAGGTCCTCTTTGGAGAAGTGTCTATTCAGATCTTTTGCCCAATTTTAACTGGATTATTTGTCTTCCTGATGTTGAGCTGTATAAGATCTTTATATATTTTGGAAAGTAACCCCTTATCAGATGTATCATTGGAAAATATGTTCTTCCATTCAGTGGGTTCCCTTTGCATTTTTTAGATGGTTTATTTTGCTGTGCGGAAGCTTTTTAGTTTGATATAGTCCCATATGTTTATTTTTTTAGGATAGGTGTTATTTCTCCTTTGAATGTTTGGTAAAATTTGCCTATGAAGCCATGGGGTCCAGGAATGTTTGCTTGATGGGAGTTTTTTTTTGTTACTGTCTCAATTTCATTAGTTGTTATCTATTCAGGGTTTCTGATTCTTCATGATACAGTTTTGGAAAATTGCATGTTTCTAGGAATTTTCCATGTCTCCCAAGTTGTCCAATTTGTTGGCATATAGCTGTTCATAGTGATTTCTTATAATCCTTTGTATTTCCGTGATATCAGTTGTTACTTCTTCTCTTTCATTTCTGATTTTACTTATTTGGGTTCTCTCTCTTTTTTTTCTTGATGAGGCTGCTTAAATAATTGTAAATCTCATTTGTATTTTCAAAGAACCAGCTCTTGGTTTCATTGATCTTTTGTACTGCTTTTTTAGTTTCTATGCCATTTATTCTTTGAAACAAAATCATTTTAAAAAAAGACAAAATACTTCTCAACAACATGCTCACATATTCAATTCCTAGGAAGATGTGAGCATATAAAGGGCACTTGATCCCATGGCACTTCAAGTCTTATTATGAAAACAAGAAAATATAAGGAACAGATCTGAAGGCAATGTATTATTGAGAGCCTCAGTAAATGAACTGAGAGTAGGCACATAGAATGCACAAAAAGAAAAGATCTCTGAGAATTAGAACAGTCAGGTCAGGGTTCATGAAGGCTGTAAGACTTCATTCTTAGAAGGTGGATAGAATGGAGAGGCAGAGAAGGACATTTCAAATGAGAGGAATAACAAAAGCAGACTTGTAGCAGAGGAAAAACTACAAGTGACTCCAGAGGTAGTGAAATGATGAGCCTATTTAGAGTTGAGGGTTCAAGTTGTGGAAATAGTACTAACAGCTAGTATGTGTGGAGGCCTGTGTGCCAGGCACTGTGCTAGGTGCTTTAAATGCATTAGTAGCTCACTAAAGTACACAGACAGCTGATGAGGTAGGTGTACATATGATCCCTTTTGGTAGGCAAGGAAACGGAAGTGTGGAAAGGTCAAGTGGGAAGCCCAGCTGGTCAATGATAGCACCAGATTCATTCCCAGGTAGGTCTCATTCCTGAGTCCATGATTTGAACAACCACATCTCTCTTTTAACAGAAAAGCATAAAAAGAGTCTGCTGGGGATTTTATCATAGCCAATGTACATGAAAGGACTATTCAAGATGAAAGTCCTATTAAAAATAACCTAACTGCAGTAGGTAGAGATGATTAGCAAAGAAGATTCATTATAAAAGTGTCTCTATTACATGAGTTAGAATGAATTTCTCCAACTTAGGAGAGATTTGTGAAAAATGCCACATATTCATCTATCTGTGTGCTGTCATTATAAGAAATCTAATAGAGTAGATAACATGGAAATTTATCAGCATTCTAAAAAAGCCATCATCTTCATCATAATCACAGATGATATGTAAACCTATTACCCCTAATCCAAAAAGGAATTGCTTCTATGTTTATTTTAAATTACTTTCTTCAAATAATGAAATTAGCAACAGTTTAGCTAAGAATTAAACTGCAGTTTAATATGAGAGTTATAAAGGACAACAATATGACTACAATTTTGCAAAGCATTTAAAATATTTACTTTTTAATAGACTGCATATTGTTTAGCTTCCCTATTTTAATTTCAAAAAGAAATACTTCTCCTTGGATTTAATGCAAGCCATATTGTAGCAACAAGAGCAGTATATTTGATTTCTATAATGCACATGCATAAAAATAGATGAATAGAAGTATCTCTGATGCTGGCGATGGAAATTATTTTCCCTGGGCTCTCTTGTACTTCTAAATGGTATGCATACAGATGGAAAACTCTCCACAATTTCCATCCACATATGGACATGTGTGGATATGCATGGATGGAGTTGAAATGCTCTTCTTAAAAGTATTTTGCTTATACCTTTATTCAACGTTTTCGCTGATTCAAATAGGAAACAAATGTATATTTCTAAGTGTATGTTTTTAATAATATGGAATGCTATAAACTCTACCATGAAAAGTAGCTAATATCCATGTTTCAGATAAGAAATGGCTCTGTTGTTGGAAATTGCAGATTTGAAATACAGCGTATACCGCTACCATCAAGCATTCAGAGGAGAAAATCACAGGTCAGCTACTTGAAAAGTGACCTTTGTGAGAGAAGTGAATGTCATCCACCTTCTTGCTACTGGTAGCAACAAATTTCTC